TACAAGTGGCGGCCACGGCAGGATACGAACCTGCAATCTTCTGCTGGCGACCACGGCAATCGAGGACTTCCCACAACTCTATCCGAATTGAGCAGATGATGTCGACGATCTGACTGAAATCCATTTCAGCCCTATACTCGTCCATCTTCGCAATGTCACGGTCCACATCTCAGTCTGTCATCCAACCTGGTTCTTCAGCGCCAGGGATGGCGGACGGTGTTCCAAATATGGAGCCACTTCTCAAAAAGGAAAGCACAAGGCAAAGAACATACAATTGGAACTGATTCTATTAAGACCTTAAGTTCAGATCCCGACAAATGGACGAATAGACAACTCTATGACTATAGACAACATTGCGTTTGCAAAGGAGCACCAAAAGATTCCTGGAATTCAGTATGCCTCCTGCGAGGTTGTCATTACTTCCGCTGGAATTGAACTTGATTGGAATGAATCCCTTCTGTACCAGAATACCAGATTTTACAAATTTTCTACTTACTATGTTATGGAAGACAAAACTGCTGACACACAACCACAACTTGCCACGTCAATTCTCTTAATTGCTGCGCATGGAGCCCCCTTACCGGTCAAATGGACAAGTGTTAGTGAAATTGTAGTTGCTTTTTGTCTAGCTACGGCTGGTCATACCGATAGAGGTCCCCCTGCTGGATCTAAATTCAGGTAAGAATAGCTAATGGATTATACACAGGGTTGGCCGATCTTTTCAAAATGAGCAGACTCAAGGACATAATAAGCACCATTTGTGTTCCACCATTTCCTATTCTACCCAAAGAACCAGTGGTAAAACCAAATTTTCCTTTCGAAAATGTGGAAATGGACATTTTTGGTCTGCTCTCCTACCGGACTAAGGATAAAATCACAGAAAAATATTGGGACTCCTACCTGCCTAACTACCCGTGCAGTTCATGTCGTTGTCATCCTTGACATGACCACTCGCACGATACTACACACATTATGGCGTTTCACCGCCACCAACGATTGTCCAACATGGATAGTGTGCGACAATGCTCAGCCATTCAAATTGATCGCGGAATGCTACTCATTACTATCCACGCAAGCCAACATCGATGAAGATGTGCTAGATTACTGCACTCAGAAAACAATACAGACAAAATTTGTACCAAGCTTGAACCCTTGGCAGGGGGTTGTCTACGAAAAAATGGTAGACATTTTCAACACATCCTTTAAACATTCAGTCGGAAACAATTTACAAGACATTGAGGAAATCATAACCCTTCTGAAAAAAGCGGAAGCTACTGTGAACACTCGACCATTAACGTATATCACTGATGATCAAGATATCTTCCCCTATGACCAATCGACTTTCTTCACCCATACGCAAAACTAGCTGGATCCT